CCATAGCCTTGTGTCAGGAGCACATACTGGAGCACAGGACGAAGCACATTGCTCTGCGTTACTTTCTAGCTCGAGAGCTACAGCAGCGTGGTCAGCTTCTTCTGCGTTACGTGGCCACTGAGGCCAACAATGCTGATGTGTTCACGAAGGCGCTTCCGCCTGTTGACCATCAGCGTTTTTGCACTCTTCTAGGCCTTGTGCCGACTGTTCCTCACTTGCTTACTTCTTGACCTTGCGTGTACTGTGATCATTATATATATATCTGCATGTTTGCCCTTGCTAGGTTGTGATCATTGTACCTCTTGCTCTGTTATAAAACTGCATGTGAACTGGTCTTGTGACCGCTTACTTGTGCTCGGAATTTGTGTGGAATCCTCGAGATCCACCCTGAGCTTGTTTGCCTTGCTTTGCCTTGACTGGTCTTGTGACCCCTAGGTCTCCCCCACTTTGCCTATGGGGGTGTGTCAAACATTATATGTTTGTGTGGTTCTAGGCTGTAGTGGGTCACACCATAAGGGGTACACCAGTTTAGGGTTTCATATTTGTACTGTTGTTCCTGCTAGTCACACACATTCCTGTTTCTCATTCTGACAAAGACCTCAGCCCCCCGGCCCCCACCTGGTCTGCCTTGTCGTTTCACCCACATTTCCTCCACTGTATCCTTTCACGAGCCTTTCCTACGCTGTGTCCATTCACCCCGCTCCTCCTCTGCTGTGTCCTTCTTCCTATGCCTCCCCTTCCTGGTACGCTGGCACCACGATTGTCACAGGATCGAATTCTCAATCGAAACTTGTCACTAAAACTGAATACAAGGCCTATTTATACTCAGAAAGTACAAGGATAAATGAGATAAAACGAACCTTCGGGAACACACCCTTCCCGATACTACAATCACAAGTGCGCATAAGCACGCAAGTCTATTGGCACTTGGGATTACGCTCAGATTACACCGTATACACCACTGTCGGCGCTGTCGGTGCCGTATAATAGGTATGTCGGTGGGAAAAGTAGGAAATAAGAGAAATAAATAGAAGGCTCTAGAGAATAGAATAGTAGGCCGATTGAGATGAGATAAAGACCAAAATAAAGAGGAGAAAAGGGAGAATAGGATAACGGAAAAATATAATAGTGAGAAAATATTATAACGGGGACGTCCTCTCACACTTCCCCCCCTCAAAGCTGGGTGGTAGAAGTAACACCCTGCTTGACAAGGTAGTCCTGTAGAGGACGGCGGGCGTTATCCATGTCGTGTTCAGGTACCTAGGTATCCTCGGAAGGATCATAGCCTTTCCAACGAATCAAGAACTCCAAGGTGCCGCTACGTCGTCGTCGGTGTGCCAGAACGGCTTCGACTTCGTACTCGGGTTCCCCATTAACGATCACTGGCAGTGGCGGCGGCGGCTGGCGACCTATGAAGACCGTGTTTGGGTCCCGATAGGGCTTGAGAAGTTGAACATGGAAGGCATTGTGAATTCTCCAGGTAGCTGGTAAACGCAAGCGGAAGGTTACTGGAGTGACCTGCGCCTCGACGAGAAAAGGTCCGCAAAAGCGAGGTCGGAGCTTAGACGGAAGATGGCTAATGTCGAGATTGCGTGTATCCAGAAGCACTTGATCGCCAATCTGGATGGAATGATCGTTGCGACTCCGATCAGCGAGCTTCTTTTGTTGCTGCTGGATAGTCAGAAGACGTTTATGCGTGCGCTCCCACAATTGGTGCATAGTGGAAATGAAGTCATGTGCGGGTTGCACCATGGCGGGTACTGTTGGTTTCTGAGGCGTGAGTGGGTTGCATCCGTAACAGAGGAAGAAAGGAGTTTGCCCTGTTGCGGCGTGCGTGGCGTTGTTATACGCAAACTGGAGAACCGGCAGATGTGCATCCCATTTAGAGATATCGTCCTTACACGCTGCTCGCAGAAGCTGTTCGACAATCTGGTTGAGGCGCTCTGTCTGACCATCCGTTTGGGGATGATAGGCTGATGACATGGCGAGTTTGGTCCCCATGAGCGACATGAGCTCCTTCCAGAATTTACTCGTGAATTTCGGGTCTCTGTCGGAGATCAGCGTGGTTGGAATGCCATGTTGCGAGATGACGTAGCGGAAGAATATTTGCGCTATCTCCTCGATGCGAGCCGTTGTGTGTGTCGGAATGAAGTGTCCCATTTTGGAGAATTTGTCGATGACGACTAGAATGGCGTCGTAACCAGCTTTGGTAGGTGGTAACCCGGTGATGAAGTCGAGGCTAACCACTTGCCAAGGCTGTTCAGGGATTGGAAGAGGCTGTAGTAATCATGCTTTCTTCTGTTTGCTGCTCTTCATCCGTTGGCATGTGTCGCACGAGTTGACGAATTTTTGTACGTCATCCGCCATGTGGGGCCAATAATAATGCTTCGCAATACCGGCAAGCGTCTTGTTACTACCGAAGTGGCCCGCGTAGAGAACATCATGATATTCTTCGAGCAGTAACTGGCGTAAGGGAGGGTAATTAGGTACCCATATTTTTGTTGAGCCCTTGCGGTATGCGATGTCTTGATCCCAATGTAGAAGATGGCGCTTTTCTGCTACAGAGACTTCGGGGTCGATAGTGTATCCATGCGTGAAGAGTCCCTTCAAAAGCGGGATCATGCCATCGATTTGTAAAGCGGCAACGTGTGCAGGGCGACTCAGTGCATCTGCTTTGTTCTTGTGCCCCGGCTTATACACGATGTCGTAATGGAAGTGGGTTTCGAGAAAGTCAATCCACCGGACCTGCCGCCTGGAGAGTGTTGGTTGGGTCTTCAGGTACTTGAGGCTGCAGTGGTCGGTGTAGACAGTCGTTTTTCTTCCTTCGAGATAACACCTCCATGCCTTAAATGCGTTGACGATGGCGAGGGCCTCTTTGTCATGGATGGGGTGATTGATTTCTGCCCCGTGAAGTTTTTTGCTGAGGTATGCAATGGGTTGCAGTCCCTTCTCTTGATCCTGCATGAGTACTGCGCCCACTGCTTGATCGCTAGCATCGGCCTCGATGACATAGTCAAGTTCAGTGTCTGGCAGGATAAGAACAGGTGCGGACGTGAGTGCGGTTTTAAGTTGTTCCACAGCTTCCTGGTGCTTCGCCTCCCATTGATATGGTGTATTCTTCTTCAACAGGTTCGTTAATGGTGCGGCAATCTTGGCGTAGTTCGGTACAAATCGGTTGTAGTAGTTGGCGAATCCAATGAACTGTTGTAACTCCTTCACGTTCTCAGGGGTCTTCCACGTTCGCACTGCTTCGATCTTCTTAGGATCCACGTGAACTCCTTGAGCGCTCACCATATGTCCAAGGAACTGGACTTTTTTCAACGCAAACTCGCTCTTGGATAGTTTCACGTAGAAGCGTTCTCGTCGAAGAATTTCAAACACCCGTCGTAGATGCTCAACGTGCTGCTTCATATCTTTCGAGTAGATCAAGATATCGTCCAAATATACCACCACGCACTCGTCCAGAAGGGGCCGAAGGATGTGGTTCATTTCTGCCTAAAATGTGGCTGGTGCGTTTTCAGAATCCCAACCACTAGACCATTGGGATAAAAGGGCTTGTTTCAGTAGCGGGTCAGTGCGCCCATAACCCCCCAGGCAAACATGCCTGTAACCCTTCCCTAGGATCGATCGGGGATCACCAGTGGACCTCTGACACCCCCCCGCACTGGGATGCCCGAAGTGCATACACCGGGATTCGAACCCGAGACCTTCGCTCTGGATACCATCTCAGAATCCCAACCACTAGACCATTGGGATAAAAGGGCTTGTTTCAGTAGCGGGTCAGTGCGCCCATAACCCCCCAGGCAAACATGCCTGTAACCCTTCCCTAGGATCGATCGGGGATCACCAGTGGACCTCTGACATGCGTTAGTGAGTCCGAATGGCATCACGAGATACTCGTATGACCCGTACCGAGTTCGAAAAGCGGTTTTGTGGATAGAGTTGTCCGCCATACGAATTTGCCAGTATCCCGATCTGAGGTCGAGCTTGGAGAATACCGTAGCACCGCGAAGTTGATCGAGTAAGTCGTCGATCCGTGGTATCGGGTATTTATTTTTTACAGTCTGCTTGTTCAAGGCTCGGTAGTCGATGCACATTCGCAGACTTCCGTCTGGCTTCGGAGTGAAGAGAACTGGAGCTCCGTACGGCGAAGTCGAAGGTCGAATCAGCCCTTTCCCCAGGAGATACTCTATTTGTTTTTTCATATCGGCAAGCTCTGTCGGGCTCAGCCGGTATGGTGCTCGAAATGTTGGCTTGGACCCCGGCTCTTCTACGATCTCGTGTTGATGTTGTCAGATTATCATAGCTGATGCATGTTTGTAGGCTATAGTGGGGTAGCACATATGGGGTACAGCTTTCTAGGGTTGTATTTGTACCCAACTCTGACTTAGTCATTTCATTCCTGTTTTCCTTGCTTCACATGGTATAGAGCGGGTCCTGCCTTAGGACCGTTTTTTTTTTAGGGCCCACCGAAGCGCGCCCCGAGGCGCGCCCTTTTTTTTTAGCGACCCCTCGGGTCGCCTTTTCCCTCGCGGCCCCGCTGTCCCTCAGACGCGGCCCCGCCACCTCTCCTGAACGCGGCCCCGCCGCCTCCCCTGACGCGGCCCCGCCGCCTCCCCTGTCGCGGCCCCGCCGCCTCCCCTGACGCGGCCCCGCCGCCTCCCCTGACGCGGCCCCGCCGCCTCCCCTGACGCGGCCCCGCCTCTACTGCCGCGGCCCCGCCGCCGCCTCTGACGGCCCCGCCGCTGCAGCAGCTTCGTGAGTGGTACGCTGGGCGTCAGAGGGGTGGGGGTACTGGTCCCTGCACCTACGTTCTTCGTTCCGGCGACCGCGCGGGTGAGCAGTGTGGGGGTGCCCACGCCACCCAGCGCTGCTTTGGCCGCCTGACGGACGCTTGGCGTCGGCAGTTCCCTGGGGCTAGTGAGATCCCTCGCTGGGATGAGCTTCTTAGGGCTGGTGTAGCGATCTTTGATCTCGATTTTGATGCTATCCTTGCTGCTATGTATGCTGTGGATTATAGTGAGGAGAATGAGGGTTACCGGTGTTTCCAGCCCGACCCGGGCATTGGTGCTGCTGCGCTAGGTGCTTGTGAGGCTGCTGCTCTAGGTGCCAGTGCGTCTGTGCTCTCAGGTACTGGTGAGACTGCGCTCTCAGGTACTGCGTCGCCCTCGTCCTCCCTCACTTTCACACTTGACTCCGGGGCTGCTCGCTCCTTCTTTCGAGACCGCACTACCCTTACGCCGCTCGGCCGGCCGGTTGCGGTCTCCCTTGCTGACCCCTCTGGGGGTCCTGTCCTGTCTCACTTCTCCACTGTCCTCCCGTGTCCGGCTGCCCCTTCGGGCACCCTGTCTGGTCTGTACCTTCCCTCGTTCTCTACGAACTTGGTGAGTGGAGCGGACCTGCAGGATGTGGGGGTTCACCAGTTCACTCCTGCGAGTCAGCGGGTGACCCACTGCACGGAGGCACGCACAGGCCGACACCTGGCCACGTTCTCACGTCGGCCGGGGTCGAGTCTCTACACCCTGACCGTTGAGTCTCCTCCTGACCCTGCGTCTGCTCAGGTGGCTGCGTCAGGTCAGGTGCTTGCTGCTGCGTCCCGGTCAGGTCCTGAGTCTGCCCCCTGTTCTTGTCGCCTCCTGTCTCACGAGACTCTCCTGTGGCACCACCGTCTTGGCCACCCCTCCTTGCCCCGTCTTCGGAGCATGGCTTCCCGTGTCCTTGTCTCTGGTCTTCCCCAGTCTCTCCCTCCTCTCCCCTCCGGGCCAGGACCTTCCTGTGTCCCCTGTGTCGAGGGGCGCCTCCGGGCTACTCCTCACTCCTCCCACTTCCCCCCGACAGAGGCTCCCCTGCAGACGCTTCACATGGATGTGTGGGGCCCAGCCCCCGTCCGTGGGCAGGGTTACGAGCGCTACTTCCTGTTGGTGGTTGACGACTACTCGTGTTACACCACAGTCCTCCCCTTGCGCAGAAAGGGTGCGGTCACTGAGGTGCTGATCGACTGGATCCGCGAGGCTCGTCTCCAGCTCAGGAAGAGCTTCGGCTCGGACTTTCCTGTTCTGCGTCTGCACTCGGACAGAGGCGAAGAGTTCTCTTCTCGCCTTCTGCGGGAATACTGTCGTGCACGAGGGATCCGCCAGACCTTCACGCTTCCGGACTCACCACAGCAAAATGGGATTGCTGAGCGCCGCATTGGCATGGTCATGGATGTCGCTCGAACGTCCATGATGCATGCGGCTGCCCCCCATTTTCTGTGGCCGTTTGCGGTGAGGTACGCGGCGCATCAGCTTAACCTTCACCTCCGGGTCTCTCGGCCTGCGATGTCCCCAGCCTTGCTGTGGACGGGGAAGGTTGGTGATGCGTCTGTGTTCCGTGTCTGGGGATCTCGGGCGTTTGTCCGCGACTTGTCTGCGGACAAGCTGTCCCCTCGTGATGCTCCCTGTGTCTTCCTTGGCTTCCCCCTTGACGCCCCAGGGTGGCAGTTTTACCACCCCTCCTCTCGTCGTGTTCTGTCCTCCCAGGACGTCACGTTCGACGAGTCAGTCCCCTTCTACCGTCTCTTCCCCTACCGCACTCCTTCCCTCCCCCCTCCCCCGGACTTCCTCGTGCCGGTTCCCCCCCCGGTAGACCCCCTCCCCCTCAGGTTCCTGCCCCCTCAGGTGTGTCCCAGGTAGACGCCGTTGACCCGGTCGAGGTTACTGGTGACTCTGGTGCTGCTGCGGGTGCTGAGCCTGGGGGTGCTGACGCTGGGGGTGCTGTGCGCGGGGGTGCTGAGCCTGGGGGTGCTACTGCTGGGGGTGCTGGGCCTGAGGGTGCTACTGCGGAGGGTGCGGAGCCTGGGGGTGCTGAGCCGGGGGGTGCTGTGCCTGGAGGTGCTGGGTCTGGGGGTGCTGGGTCGGGAGCTGCTGAGCCTGGGGGTGCTGCGTCTGGAGCTGCTGAGCCTGGGGTTTCTCCTGCTGCTGCGTCTCGCCGGGAGCCCCTCTCTCCACAGGAGCTGCGCGAGTGGTTCGCTCGCCGCTGGAGGCGTGCTGCTGAGTCTGGAGGTGCTGCTGGAGCTGGAGCTGGTGCTTCTTCGACCGTCGAGGGTGCGGGTGCTGCCGGTCCCGGAGCTGCTGGACCTGCGGGTCCTCCTGGAGCTGGAGCTGCTGAGGGCGTTGGTGCTGAGCCTACTGCTGTTGGTCCTGCCGCTGGAGGTGTGGGTGGCGCTGGTGCTGTCGCTGAGGGTGCTGGTGCTGTCCCTGCTGAGTCTGGAGCTGCCGCGCGGCCTCGGCCGTACTTCGTTCCGCTCCTGCAGCAGGTTCTTGGTCTTTCTCCTCCAGTAGAGGGTCCACCGCCTGTCCAGTCGCAGTCCCTGCTGGAGCCTTCCTCTCCACTGCCTGCTCCCTCTCCTTACACTGGTCCTACTGGAGGTCTTGCTGAGCGTCGTGAGCCTGCGTCTCGTCCCGCGTCGCCTGTTCGTGCTGCTCGCGCTAGTGGTCGCAGTTCGCGTCAGCGTCCTCCTCCTGTCCCTGGCACCCACCGGATGTCTTTGCGTCCGTCCACTGCTCCTCTGCGTGCCCCTTTGCCTTCTCCTCCTGAGTCCTCTCTTCCTGCGCTAGCCGACCCTGAGTCGGACTCTCTTCGTGCTGCCAGTCCTACTGTCACGCGTCTGCTTGCTACTGTCGTCACTGACCCCTCTTTTGAGTCCACTTCTGCATCTGCTCTAGTTGCTGAGCTCGTCGACTTTGCTGCTCGCTGTCGTCTCGACTACGCTGCTAGTCTTGTTGCTGAGTCTGCGTCTGTCTGTCCTCTGTCCGTCGGGGGTGAGTGTGCTCTTGGCACGGACGTCCTAGAGGACAGGCAGGAGGAGTTACAGTGTCTAGCGGCTGCTTCACCTCATCTCGCGTCTGTTCTGCTTGCCCCTGAGGGAGACCCGGATGCACTAGACATCCCGACTCCGCGTTCTTACGCGGAGGCCGTAGAGGGTCCCTACTCCTCTGAGTGGCAGGCAGCTATGGATGCAGAGATGGCTTCCTGGAAGTCCACAGGCACCTACGTTGACGCGGTTCCCCCTCCTGGGGCGAACATCGTCAGTGGCATGTGGATCTTCAGGGTGAAGCGGCCGCCGGGCTCTCCACCTGTCTTCAAGGCACGGTACTTTGCTCGTGGCTTCAATCAGCGGCAGGGAGTTGACTACTTTCAGACCTTCTCTCCCACCCCGAAGATGACTACTCTTCGGGTGCTGCTACACATAGCCGCTCAGCGCGACTACGAGCTTCACTCTCTTGACTTCAGCACTGCGTTCTTGCAGGGTAGCCTGCACGAGGAGATCTGGCTTCGCCGTCCACCTGGCTTCACTGGGACTTTCCCTCCTGGCACCCATTGGAGCCTCCGACGGCCAGTCTACGGTCTCCGCCAGGCACCGCGTGAGTGGCACGACACACTGAGGACTACGCTTGCGGCCCTTGGGTTTGCTCCTTCTACTGCTGACCCGTCGCTGTTTCTTCGCACCGACACTTCCCTGCCGCCGTTCTACATCCTCGTGTACGTCGACGACTTGGTCTTTGCCACAGCGGACACTGCTGGACTCGCCTACGTGAAGTCCGAGCTGCTGAAGAGACACACGTGCACAGACCTGGGTGAACTGCGCAGCTACCTTGGCTTGCAGATCACTCGGGACAGAGCACGCCGCACCATTACCTTGACTCAGTCACACATGGTGCAGCAGGTCCTTCAGCGCTTCGGCTTCACGTACTCCTCGCCTCAGGCCACTCCTCTGCCTACTCGCCACTCACTCTCAGCTCTGCCTTCGGATGAGTCCGTAGAGTCGAGTGGTCCGTATGCAGAGCTTGTTGGCTGCCTCATGTACCTGATGACCTGCACACGACCTGACCTTGCATACCCTCTGAGCATTCTTGCACGCTATGTTGCTCCTGGGAGACACAGACCAGAGCACATGGCTGCAGCGAAGAGGGTATTGCGCTACCTGTGCAGTACGTCGGGCATGGGGCTAGTGCTTGGAGGGCGGAGTCCAGTGGTCCTTACCGGCCACGCGGACGCTTCTTGGGCTGACGACCAGGCTACGCAGCGGTCGTCACAGGGTTACACCTTCAGCCTTGGTTCCGCCTCTGTCTCGTGGCGGTCTACTCGCTCGTCTTCGGTTCTCGGCTCCAGTTGTGAGGCTGAGATCTACGCCGGGGCCATGGCTGCACAGGAGCTTCGCTGGCTCACCTACCTGCTGACTGACCTTGGAGAGCCGCCTCGTTCTCCTCCAGTGCTGTACGTAGACAATAAGGCCATGCTGGCCTTGTGTCGAGAGCAGCGCTTGGAGCACAGAACGAAGCACATTGCTCTCCGCTACTTCCTTGCTCGTGAGATGCAGCAGCGTGGTCAGTTGCGACTTGCGTACGTGGCCTCTGAGGCCAACACTGCTGATGTGTTCACCAAGGCACTCGCGCCTTGTGACCATCAGCGATTTTGCACCCAGCTGGGTCTTGTGCCTGTCTTGCCTCACTTGCTCTCCTCTTGACTTCACTTGTACTGTGACATATATATATACCTGCTCTTGCTTGTCTAGTTTTATATATATGTCTGTACTTCTGCATGTGAACTGGCCTCTGGCCCTGCTCTTGTGCTCGGACTGTGTGGTGACTTTGTGATCCACCCTGAGCTTGCTTTGCTTTGCTTGACTGGTCTTGTGACCCCTTGTTCTCCCCCACTCTGCCTATGGGGGTGTGTCAGATTATCATAGCTGATGCATGTTTGTAGGCTATAGTGGGGTAGCACATATGGGGTACAGCTTTCTAGGGTTGTATTTGTACCCAACTCTGACTTAGTCATTTCATTCCTGTTTTCCTTGCTTCACAGATGTGTCCGGTATGGCGGTAGTTGATCAGGTAAATCGTCGGGGAGAACGTCCTGGAACTCTTCAAGAATTTTCTTGACTGCTGGAGGAAGTTCCTGGGTCTGCTTCTCTCCGTTGTCTGGCTCGTTGACTATCGCCATGAATCCCGCCGTGGTCCGTTTGACGTCCTTTTCAAAGCGTGCGAGTGTCTCGACTGGAATATTTCCCGTGTCGTCCCATTTGGGAAGGCTGATTTTCCTCCCGTTGTTGTTGATGTTGGCCGTCTGGTTAACCCAGTTGATCTCGGGGTTGAACTTTTTAAGAAAGTCTCTCCCGAAGATTACGCCGAGTCCTTTGATATTTATGACGGGGAGAGCAGGCTTCCATCGAAGGGGTCCAATTTGGAGTAGCAACCGTGTTTCCCCGTAGATAGGTAGCTTACTGCCATCCACCATCGTTGCAGAGAAGCTTGAGGACTTGAGGTCACTTCCGAGTCGATCGATTGCCTTTTTGTCATAGACGCTGTGCAACGCTCCGCTGTCCACGAGTGCTTGGAGGCGCTGTCTGTTGCAGATCACCTCGAGCAGGAGTGGTGAGCGTTGCTCGGAGTACCCAAAAATAGTCTCATTAATAGGATCATAGGGTACATCCCAATATTCAGTACACACCGTGGTTCCACTGCTTTCTTCTGGACAACTAGCTGGCCTGGGCTGCGTGGAGAAAGGCTCTTCTCCAACGCCAGGAGTAGAGGTAGTAACCGTACAAGTTGACCCTGAGGGGGTGGATCCGGTCGACGCCTGCGATCCACTGGATGCATCCTTGAGGGGTTTTTCGGAGTTTCTGCAGCTTCTTTTGAACTCCCAGCTGCCTCTTCAGCTGCTTCAGCTCCATAGACTTCTTCCCTGGGGAGTGGAGAGTCGTCTTGGGCTGGTTCCGGGAGAGGACGTTGACGCCGTGAAAAGGTCTACTCCTTTCCACACTCCTTAATTTTTTCCCCAGCTCCGTAGGCACCGGTACCACTTTTTTAATTGTCTGCTTCCTCTGGAGTTCTTCCCGAAATTTGTTTATGGCTCCGGACCCGCGAAAATCGCCAGTCTTCATTAAAGCATCTTTGAAAGATAACTTTAACGAATTCTGTTTTTTTTCCGGGGTCGAATTGGAGAGTTCCCGTCTTGGTCGAGTCTGTTTTCGCGGAGGTTTTCTTTTCCTCGGCGAATTCCTCTGACAAATTTCGGTCAAGGGGCTTGGGATTTCGCCCTTGATTCTCCAAATCTCGCGCCCAATGCTGTCCTTCAATTTCGATTCGGTCCAGATTGCGCTGACGCTTTCGGATCTGTTTTTTCTCGCCAGCCCGATCCGCAATCACTGGCGAGATCCGTTTTTTTTACTTTTTGTCTTTAGTTTCGCCACTCCCACGAGCTCGGAATGCCGCACGTGCTGATTTCATGTGAAAACAGTCGACAATCCGATGTCCGTTTCCGCCGCAAAATTCGCAAAGTGTTTTGTTTTTTGCAGGTCGTGAACTCGCGTCGAATTTGTCGACTTCCATGGGGTCGGCGAACGTGGTTGAAGCCGAGCGATCCCCTTGTCGTAATCCGACGACGTGGGGTCGTCGTGTCCCGGAGTTGACCAAGTCAAAACGCTCCGCGGCCGATACGATTTCGCTGTAGCTGCTGCAATTCGCTGCTGCAACCTGGCGCCGAATGTCAGTTTTTAGCCCCGCGATATAGGACTGAATTTTTTTGCCCTCGGTAATATCGGGAATGCGATTATAAAATTCCTCCATCTGCTGCGTGTATTGCGCGACACTCCCGTATTGCCTATGGTGATGTAATTTTTCGCGCGCAATATAAGTGGAATTAATCGGCTCAAAACGTTTGAGAAGGTCTGCCCGGAACTGCTGCCACGTGGCTTCGCCCTGGAAAATGCTACTGTTGCTTCCGAGCCACTCGAGAGCTGGACCCGCGCATCAACGTTGTCGCGAGACAAATTTTCTCGCCGTCGTACTCTGTCGTCGTCCATCCGATCTCCGCGAAATAAATTTCCATCGTCGCGAGCCACCGCCTGACGTCGGATTTTCGATCGCTAGGGTCGAACGATTCCGGCGAGCGAAGTTTCGGAACCTCGAACTGACGCTGCGACTGCTGCGAAGTCGTCGAAGTAGGAATGTTCATGGTCGAGAGGAGCCGCGTAACGCGCTGCAGTTCGTTTCGCATCTGCTCGTTCTCCAATCGCGACCGTTCAGTCGTCGCTCGCATCTCCGCTTCCATCTTGGCGATTTGCGCGAAGAGCTGCTGCGTAACGTCGTTGGTTGCCGGCGAACCCATCCTGTTCAAAAACCACGCGAGGGGGTTAATTCGAAAAGCGCGGAACTGGTACTTACCAGAAATTGGCGTCGAATTGGTCGCCCCCGGCGGTTTTTCGAGGCGATTTTTTCCGCGACCGCTGCTTAGCCGAGAGTTGTCGAGTGAGAACGGCTTTGATTACCAAGTGTCACAGGATCGAATTCTCAATCGAAACTTGTCACTAAAACTGAATACAAGGCCTATTTATACTCAGAAAGTACAAGGATAAACGAGATAAAACGAACCTTCGGGAACACACCCTTCCCGATACTACAATCACAAGTGCGCATAAGCACGCAAGTCTATTGGCACTTGGGATTACGCTCAGATTACACCGTATACACCACTGTTGGCACTGTCGGTGCCGTATAATAGGTATGTCGGTGGGAAAAGTAGGAAATAAGAGAAATAAATAGAAGGCTCTAGAGAATAGAATAGTAGGCCGATTGAGATGAGATAAAGACCAAAATAAAGAGGAGAAAAGGGAGAATAGGATAACGGAAAAATATAATAGTGAGAAAATATTATAACGGGGACGTCCTCTCTCAACGATCATGGGAGGATACTCACATTCCATATCTACACGCCCCAAGTCACCCCATGCTCTTTAGTATTTCTTCTGTTTGTCTCTGCGTGTTGGTGCCTGGTAAGTCTTTGTATTTGTGTGGTGAATTATCTATTGTTGTTTGTACTGGGCCTCCTCTGAACTAGGCCAGCCTGACTGCGGCAAGTGTCAATGCTAACCCAAGTTTCTCTTGTGTTCAATCAAAGGTAAAACCTATGAGTTGAACCTAAACTGAAACCTGAAGTGTAACTTTCTCTAATAAGATAACACAATGATAAGTATGAGAGTGAATTCCAGCCTATTCCAATATTGCCGTCACCATTCCCTCCTCCTGCTACCTCGTTGGTGCGGCATTGCTGGCACAGTGGCCAGCTTAGCAACAGCAGCAACACGAGGACAGCCACAGTGCCAGCAGCAGCAATGCCAGCCATGGCTTTGCTGAAAAAGCTGCTCCTCCTTTGGAGGGAGTGGCGGAGGGTGCATTAGGAGTTGAAGTGGGAGGAGGTGGAGAAGGTGCTGGTGCTGGCGATGAGGAGGGTTCTGGCGCTGGCGATGGGGAGGGTGCTGGCGCTGGCGATGGGGAGGGTGGTGGCGCTGGTGATGGAGAAGGTTTTGGCACTGTCGATGGGGACAGTACAATAATGGGATAGGAAGATGGAGAAAGGGAAGGGAAAGGGAAATCATACATGGGATGACGTTGGGCTTGGTGAAAGTGGATGTGGCATCAGTCACATTTTGCACAGTGAGCAGTAGCAAAGAGAGGCATTGACAGGTTTAAACGGGTACTATTCATTAAAAGCCAAGCTGAGGCATGCAACAGGAGGTAAAAAAAAAAAAAAAAAAAAAAAAAAAAAACACACACCCACACACACACACACACACATTATTTTATGAGGATGCCGGATGCGTGACACTAGAAAATATTGTTCTATGGGTTCCTGATACATGGAGAAAAAAAAAATCTGACACTGAAAAAGATTGTTGAATGGGTGGCAATGTGGTGTTCATGCTTTTGGCATGAGAGCAATGTAATAATAGGTAATACAAATTGCAGCTACCTGCGTAAGAATGAACAGATGTGATGGTGAAGTACCCAGAAACCGTGATTCGGAAATTGAAAATGCTAAGCGATAAGCATCATGCGCACAGGAGCATGGGCATGACGTGATCACTGATTCATAGAAGGTGTGAACACGAGAGGAGGTCAAATAGGAGGCAAGTGTCGTTGGGGAATGAGTGGTCCTGAGCTCCATTAGGCACAGCGAGTAAATAAACTACGACTACTCGTGGTTGTTAATGACCCACGACGCCTTGCCATTGCTGCATCCACCCATGGCAGCAAGCCACCCACACATTATATCTCCCCTCTGTGCTTGCCTGTAAGTCCAGCCAGCAGGAGTTGCACTGGCAGCAGGGATGAGAGGGGCCAAACTGGAGCAAGATAAAGAAAACATGGGAGAGATACGCCCTGCTTCTGAGGGGGTGGGAGGGAAGAAGAGATGAATTGGCCAGCTCATCAACGTCGTATGGCCTTCGCTCCCTCTCTCAAACCCTGCACCAGATATCTTTAGAGAAGACAAGTGTGATGGGCAGGCTGCACGAGGAGATTGTGTTCCACAGAAACGATTTGCACACTGCTGCAACTCCAAACTTGAAACTTGGCAGGTCAAACTGCTAAGCATCATGCGGTTGATCATGGACAGATGTGTGAAGCGCCATGACTTGGCTATAACGATCCGCCGCCATGGCACGATTGGTCACTGCTGAAACTAGTA